AGGAAAAATTTTGCCATTGCCATATAGTACTAATGATGCCATTTCATTACATACTAGTAATGGTCACCACATACCACTGGACCAGCCTGATATCAAATGATCCCCAGGAAAAAAACCCAAATCAATTTCAATTCTTCTAAATGAGAGTTATTTGGGGGCAGATCATAAATCAATATCTTGGTGTCATCCATGGTCATTCCCTCAGCCCACCCTTGAGCCTTTTATCCAGGTGAGACATATTGTTATTAATGAGGTTCTATAATAAGAATCCTGGTGTGGCACTGTGGGTTAATGCGTCAGACTGCAAAGCCGTTTGAACTACAAGGTCGGTGGTTCAAGCTCACCAGAAGCTCCTTGGAAACCCTATACAGAGTCGCTATGGGTCAGAACTGACTTGACGGCACTTCACAACAACATAATATTCACAACAAGAGATCAAATCTTCACCTTTAGCAAAGTGATGAACTTATTCATAACTAGCAACACAAAACACAGTACTAGACCCATGCCCGAGATTTTAACCTTTAAGTCTGCATGCCCATCATCAAAATATGATTGAAGAAGCCTAAACTGAACACTGTGTGATCTATCGACCTGAGATTAAGCTGGACTGTCAGAAAACCAAATGCTCTGGCCACCTGCCTTGCTCTCTCAGCCCATGGTGTTTCCCCAGCCAATCAGGGGTGATATGCAAAACAGCCTCAGAAACATCATGGCTGAATTTTCTGACAGCCTTTGTTTGTGGCACCATGTAATACATCTCTGTGTTTGAAGTCAGCTGAAAACTTTGCATTGAGTTAAGCGTTAGGAATCTTATGATTGCCTGCTCTGAGAAACCAACATATATAAAGCTAAGTCAAAGAGTATTGCTAATAGCTTAGATCATATATACACAGATTTATTCCCAACAAAACAAGTTTAAACTTGTGTGTGTGATTAGTCGGTGGCTGCTCACAATACACTTGTCTGTCAGTAATATAACCTGTCTTAGTTCTGTTAGGGTAACTGTCAAACAAAAATATGGTCCAATCAAAACAGTGGCTTCTGAGCGGATATTCTGGGCCAATTACATTCCAGGCTGGAAGTCAGCTCAGAAGAGTATTGGGACTGTTTGGGGATTCCGAAGAGGAATCTTGATAGATTTTCTCAAAGGACACAGGATGGTCATAGGAACTTTTTGTGAAGACGTTTTAAGAAAATTACAAACTGCATTGGTGAGAAAAAGGCCAGGAAAGTGCTGAGAAATTGTCTCTTTTCTATCACAATTCTTTGAGGGTAGCAAAGGCTCTCCTAGAACTTTTTGGAAAACCCTACCTCATGCACTCTCAGACTTTTTTTTTGTTTCAAAAACTCAAAGAACATTTGAAAAGAACATAAGTTTGAGTCTCTTGAAGATGCCCAAACTGCCATTTTGACAGTGTAAGTCAGAGTGCAAAATTCCTTGGGGGAAGGGTTAAATCGAGAGATGGAAACACCACCTTCGGACGTGTATAGACCTGGGTAGAGGAGATGTCGGGAAATGATAACTTCACACTTTGAGATTTTTCTTTAATAAAGGTTTCTATGATCTTGCAGCAATATGTTGTGACTTTTCCTTGTGCATGTGTGTGTGTTTATGTGTATGAGAGGGTTTCAAAAAGTTTGTGGAAAAACTCTATTATCTTTTCATTCCATTTTCCCATAAACGTTTTGAAGCTCCCTCGTATGTATGTATGTATGTATGTATGTATGTATGTATATACATATATATATATTCCTTTGGACAATAAGAATTGTTGTTAATAAGAGAACTCTCTCTCTCTCTTTCTTTCTTCCAACTGCTGCCTGAAAACTCAGAATTATATTTACTATTCAACTAAAACAACTGTTTAAGGCTATGGTCTACTTCTCTAGTCTATTTCTCCTAAACTAGTTTTGTTAATCCTCATCCTAAGGCTTTATTTTTCATAGATATATGACAATTCTGTTTTACATCTTATCTGTAAACTATCTAAAATCCCCGGGCAATTTGGGAGTGAGAGAAAGGAGATGTGGAAAGAGAAATAGACAGGCAGGTTTCGCATGTGTCGAGGTGACGGTTGAGCACAGGGACGTGGGAGATGTCCACAGGCAAGCACTAACCACACAGGGCTGGGACCAGCAAGATTACAGTCCGGCATTTGGTCCACCTCATGTGCTAACCTTTCTGGACAGCCCCCAAATGATACTAATATACATGTTTTCATGATGTTATCCATTAAAAAAAAAAATGTCACATGAAAGGGTAAATCCAGAGTCTCCAAGATTTAAAAAAATCTAAATGCTTCTGGTGTGGTGATGTAGGATCAGCACTGGACTGTGAACCACAAAGTTGGCAGTTCAAATCCACCAGCTGCTTCTTAGAAACCTTATACAGGAACAACAATATCAAATGCTTCCTAAAGAAGCCCTGGGGCTTAGTGGGTTATGCAATGTGATGCTTTGGGCTGCTATCTGTAGTTCTGCCATCAACTGCTCTGCTCTGTGGGAGAAAGATGAGGCTTTCTCCTCCTGTAAAGATTCACAGCCTTGGAAATCCTGTAAAGGGTTGCTATGAGTCGGAACTGAATGGACACATCATAGGAAAGATCAATTGCTAGAAAAGGACATCATGTTTGGAAAAGTTAAGAGCCAGTCACAGCTCAGTGAGGAAACCCTCAGTGATAGGAAGTAACACAAAAGTTCACCACCCATTGCATCTGAATTGACAGCAACTGACAACAACAACACGAGAGAGCTTTTTCCTGCCCTGGGCCTCATTGAGAATCAGGCAGAAGTTCTGCTCTTGCCCACCAGAGAGCAGTGCAGGACTGGTTGGGCTCCAGCTCTTCACATTAGGTCCAGATGGTGACAAGTGTGTTAGCTTGCTTCTTCCCACCTGAAGTCAGATGGTTTCATCACAAATTGCTGTTCACAGAAACAAAGCACTCAAGGCCACTTTGTCAAAATAAGCTGGGCTGCTAATGACAACTACTAAGTAGTCTAGAGTTCAGGGTAAGGAGCCTGAACTGTGGATTATGTGTTGGGCTGATAAATGAAGGTCATCAGTTAGAGCTCTGTGGGATACAGATGAGACTTTCTGTTCTTGTAACGATTTACAGCCTTGGAAACCCTATATGGTTGGAAGCTACTGTATGAACCCAGTATGAGTTGGAACGTATATGAGTCATAAATCCTATATGAGTTGGAACCTATATGAGCCATAAACCCTATGTGGGTTGGAACTGACTTGACAGCATTCAGCAGCAGAGTTCAGGGTATGGAGCTGTCCAGCACTGACCGGGAAGAAGCACTCAATCTTTTGCTCAACTGTTGTTAAGTCGGTTCTGACTCATAGTGACCCTGTATAGACCGGTGGTGGTGGTGTGCTATGGAGTTGGTTCTGACTCATAGCGACTCTGAATAGGATTTCTGAGGCTATAAATCTTTATGGGATCAGAAACTTTCATCTCTCTCCCACAGAGCAGCTGGTACTTTTGAACTGCTG